GGAGGAGGAAGGAGGGTTGGGGGTGGTAGGCTATGGGGGAGGGGTGTGAGTGATGGAGGAGGGAGAAGGGTTGGGGTGGTCCGGCTATGGGGGATGGACGTGAAAAAAGGTCCGTTGGACGTATCCTAACTCCTAGCCCCGTGCCTCCGTTTTCTACTTCGGGTGCCTGGCTGCCCCATACCACTTTCGGAAGTCACCGGTCACAGCAAAAATGGGGAAGGGACCGAACTGCAGCCCACACACACACGCACACACGCACATACTCTGAATGTCACCGGGTACTGCCAGAGGTAAAGGTGGACTGCACAAGTTGTCGGGAACTGCATCATTCACACATACCCACACCGAATGTTACTGGGTACAGCAAAAGGGTAAAGATGGACTGCACAGGTTACCGGGCACTGCAGCCCTCACACATACACACACCGCATCTTACTAGGTACAACAGGGGGTAAAGATGGACTGCACAAATTTCCGGGGACTTCAGCATTCACACATACACACACCGAATGTTACTGGGTACAGCAGGGGGTAAAGATGGATTGCACAAGTTATCGGGGACTGCAACACTCACACATACACACATCGAATGTTACTGGGTACAGCAAGGGTAAAGATGGACCGCACAAGTTACCGGGGACTGTAACACCCACACATACACACACCGAATGTTACAGGGTACAGCACGGGGTAAAGATGGACTGCACAAGTTACCGGGGACTTCATCACTCACACATACACACACCGAATGTTACTGGGTATAGTAGGGGGTAAAGATGGACTTCACAACTTTTGAGAGCACCTTAATCCAACAGAAAGTTCACCGAAGCATCCGAAGGTAATGCGCAACTTAGACATGCATCAAAGTCAATGAGGGCACAAGTTTTGAGGGCATCTAACCCAACGAAAAGTTCAACGAAGCATCTTAAGGTAATTCGCAACTTAGACATGCATCAAAGTCAGTGAAAATTCAAGACTTGAAGTATCAACACAAGGGGAGAGTTCACCGAATTA